GAGAGCCTTGCTCTTTGCCTCCTGTCGCTCTGCCACTGCTACTCCTGGCTTTTGCTCTTTGCTGTTTCCCACTGCATGAAAGGCTGCCTTCTGCCATGTGCCACTCTGCCTTGGAGCCAACCAAGAATGGACTGAAAGTTCCACTGTAAACTAAATAAACTTTAACTTTGGGTGTCACGTATTTTGTCCCAGCAACGAGAGAAAGGTACCTAAGACACTGCCAAACAAGGAGCAAGAACCCCTGGGCTCCCAGCCCACACCCCACCTTCCCAGCTCCCACTCACCATAGAACTTCTCCCAGATCAGCAAGAGGGCCGTGAAGCCAATGAAGAACATGGCGGCGCCCACCACCGTCTTCCACTCATTGGTGGCCCTGTTCATCTCCGCAAAGCTCTCATTGAACTGAATGCGGTACACTGGCACAGGAAGAACATCGGGGCCCTCAGGAACCAAACCTTACCCGCTCTGTGCTGCACCAGCCCCACCCACTTCCCGAGATACCCACGCTCGACTTTCTCATCCCGGGTCAGGCTGCTCCACGAGGCTTTCTCCTTCTCCTTCAGGGCCTTCTGGCTGGCAGACAGCTGCTTGACATAAGCCACGTCAGGCAGGGGGTAGTCGCGCCGATCCACATAGCTGGGGAGGGCATAGTCTTCACTCTTCACCACACTCCCTAAGGACAGCAAATGCTTAGCAGAATGAAGGCCAGAAGGAAAGAGAGCCGGTGACCCAGGCCACAGCCCCAAGATGGCACCATCCACAGCTAGTGACCAGATGTCAGACCCGGACGCTCAGGGCCCCTGGCTTGCCTGAAACTGGACTACACCGATGCCCTGCTGCTGCTGCTGCTGCAAGGGACTCACTGCTTCAAGGAGCTCAACGTAACAAGAACACCACGGGACAGGCTCTGGAGCTGGGCAAGCCATCACTAATTCAGTGGGTCCTGCCCAATGGTCCTGCCCCCCGAGGGGGCGCTGGACATATGGGACGCTGGCACACAAACCAGCAACTGCTGCAGGTGGTGCCTATTCAGCAGGAAATACCAGACTCACACAGGGATGCACACACATGGGGCGGAGCCAAGTGGACTAGGACCTCAGTGGAAAAGAATCAGCGCCAGGCCCTGCTGCTTCTTCAGCTCTGCCCCAGACCCACAAGAGCAGGCCGCATCTTAACTAGGGGAAGACGCCTTGCAGAAGCACTCCACCCCACTAGTGGTTATAATCCCCAATCCAGTTCATAGTACAACACAACACAGGGCCCTGAGCAAGCAGTTCACATTAGGTGCTCACCGCAGACCTGCAGTGAGCAGTGCCACCTACGACCGAATAACCAGGGCTACCATTCAATTTTAACTCATAAATCTATTGACTTTTTTGGCAGAACTGGGGATTGAACTCAGGCCCTTTGGCTTGTCAGACAAGCGCTTATTCTACTGAGCCATCTCCCCAGCCCCCTCATAAATCTAGTGAAACAATGAAGAAACCGAAGAATGACTATACACCAGAAATTCCCACCAAGTTCAGCCCATTAAGAGATCTCTAGATTTGAAGCACTCACCTTACACACTGGGCATTCGTTAGGGTATGAAACATTCCAGAATCAGTATTATATGGATTACCTCACAAAGTTGGTACAAAGATGTAAACCTTGGAGCACACTAGCCATAAGACAGCATATTCTAGAAAAAAATGGCCAACTCTGGACTTCGTTTCCTCAGAGATCTGGATGCTGTGGGGGAGAGGGCCACATGCCAAACAATCCTATTTTTAAAAAAAGTACTGCAAAAGTACTCCATCTTAGACAACGCCTGTGTAAATATGAGCCATTATCTTTCTGTGGGTGGGCTGTCCCTTTCTCCCATAAACCGAGATGGAACTTCCTATAAATTCACAAATTTCATAGGTTTCCACCTTCTCAAAAAAAAAAAACACATCGGACCTTTCACTGTACAAATACGCCTGCCCAACAATGGTGTCCCCTGCTGCTTTAAGATTTTTAAGCTGAGGAAAGATTTCTGTATTACACATGCATAATGCTCATCAGTTAAGAGTCAGTCAAATAGCTCATCGGATTAAAGCGCCTGCTTAGGCAGACACAAGGGGTTGGGAGTTCAATCCCTGGACCTGCTGTGCTAACCCCACCCCTGGGGCACTCTGAGACGGAGATTGAGACTGGGCATGGTGGCATGCGCCCGTAATCCAGCACTTGGGAAGCTGTAAACAGGAGGATCACTGCGAGTCAAATCTACGCAGTGAGACCCGTAGACCCTGTCCTAAAAAATGCAAAAAAGAATTAAAAGTTAAAGATTTGTCTACAGTACTGTATTTGAACACAGTACTTCATTCACTTGAAATGCACACAGAACAAACACACAAAAAAGAAAACCTATCAGCCACGCCAAACTGGAAGGAAAACGCCATCTTGTCACCACTGACTGTCCAGGGTTGCAAGGAACACGACTTTCCCTGTGCACTCAGAAACAAGAGTTCCCCTTTCCCCGCTTTTTGGGACAACAGGCTACTGTAGTGAGTGGCGCCTCTCAGTCTGTGTCTGCCCGCAGCACCCTCCCAGTAGCACACGGAACAGTGCAAAAAAAGAGGTCCATTGCAGGCTGAGGCGCAGCGCTGGTGGGAGGTAGCTGCCCACCAGAACACAGCCCAAGCCTCCCACCCAACCCTCTCACTCTGCGGCAGCAGTGATCCTCTGCACACCTTTCCTGGGCCCAGGTCAGACTAAAAAGCTTCTACTCTGGAGCACAGCTTACTAAAACACTACCTTCACCTATCTGTCCCTCTCCATGCTGCAGACATACAGTGGAAAGGTCCAAAGCTCACTCTTTCTATTCACTACAGCTAAGTGGGTCTCATACAGAGGACTCGCTTAACAAATACAAAACTAAACCAGCTCCAGGCTAGACACAAAACTTAAAACTTGTAGATTCTCACGTTTTCTTTTTTTTCTTTGGACACAAAGGTCTTAGTACATAACTCAGGGCTGACCCACGAGTCCCTAAGCAGCTCAGGCTGGTCTAGCCCTTGCAGTGATCCTCCTGCCTCAGCCGCTGGAAGGCCATAATTATAGGTATGTACCACCACTTCTGGTTCAGGAAATAGACTCTTAAATTTAAGTAGCTAATCCAACATAGAAATGAGCCTTAAACCCAGCTCAAACGGAAACCCAAGCTCCTCTGCTTTCGCTGCCTCTGTGATGTGAACAGAAGTCAGATATCTAGGAGTCCTGCTGGGGAAAAAGATCATTATCATTAAAGTCAGTCAGAGAAGATCTCTGAACACAAGTAGAACTTGAACCTCAAAATTTGAAGGAAAGCAAGAAACAAAAGGAAGTAACAGCACAAGTAAAGGACCAAAGCAGAATTCAACAGGAATCATGAACACACTTTCACCTGGAGTGAACCTGCTGAATCATGGGTGTCTCCCTCTAAGCCAGCCCAGCACAGACCCCAAGCACAGCAGGAGCAAAATGAAACTGGCTCAGTCTGTTTAAAAAGCAAGGGAATTCTCACTTACCGTGCGCTCGCACACACGCAGAGGTTGAAATGGCTCGCCTGCCGATTACGCTAAATACCCTGGTAGCCAGCATCCTGAAAGATAAAAACAAACACCTGCGCTATGAGTGAGGCGCCCACCTCGCAGGCTAAGCCCATCGTTCCGGCCCAGAGCACTCTGGAAGTAAATGGAACTCATTTGTTTGCTTCTCCCCAACAGAAATGACGTCTTTTTTAGGCGAGGTCTCACTCTATAGCCCAGGCCGGCTCTGAACTCTCAGCGGTCCCCCTAACTCAGTCTCCCAAGGGCTGGGATTGCAGGCGCGCACCACCTCGGCCTGCGAAATGACTCATTCTTTATATAACGGATTCTGAATTCACAAAGTAACCCAAGCTGAAACTGTTTAACAGTGTTTTTCGGAGCTTTGTAATAAACCAAGTGCCATAAGACACACACGCTTACCCAACTACCAGAAAAGAGGCTTTTAAAAAAAATAGAAATTTTAAGATGACTGAAGAAGCCAGCAATCAGTAAAGCTTTACATCACCACTGTAAGTTCTGTCCTTGGTAAAAAAGAACCGCTCACACGGAGGGTGGCACGGACCTGAGGCACGCATACACTGGGAAGGGCAATCGAGAAGGCTGCGCGCACTGCCTGCTCCACTGCCAATCCCCGCGGACAACGCACGACGCAGACGCCGCCCGGGCACCCGCACCCGCCGCCCAGGGCCCAGCACACCACGGGTTCCCTTCTAGGACGCCCCTCTGGAGCTCCTGAAAGGCCATGGGGCTTGGCAGCGCTGAGGAAACGCCTCCCTGGGCAGAAGCAGCAACAGTACGCGGGCTGCGCCCGCCGCCGCCCGGGCCTGCAGGGGGTTCGCGGGGGGAAGCCGAGGCCGCAGGCGCAGGGCCAGCGGGCGTCCCAAGGTCAGAGCCCGAGGCCGCGCGCCAGTCGGCAGCGGGACGCGTGCAGCCGGGCCCCACGCTCCGCCGGCACCGACGCCGCCGCCCCACGGCCTCCCGCGCCCGGACGCCGGCCGGGCTCTTATCCCTGCGCCCCCGGCCCACCCGCCGCTTCCCGCTGGCGCCGGCCGACGGCTGCGGGCGTACGAACGCCGTAGCTCCCGAACTCCGAAGCCTGCGCGGCTCGCAATTCGCCAGCCAAAGCCAGCCGCCTCGCGCCTCACCCGCCGCCGCTCCACCGTGACCGCCTCGACCGTCCGCCCTCTGCGTCCGGGGTGCCAGCGACCGGAAGAAGGAAGCCACGGCCGGAAGCAGGAGGAGGTCGCGCCGCGGAGCACCACGGGATCGAGGAGGCCCCGCCCTGTCGGCGCCTGGAGGTCGCGCGCTGAGGACGACGGGAAACGCCGGGCCGGGCTGCTTTCCGGCAGGCGCCGAGGGACCCACTTTCCGGCGGGCCGGTGAGAAGCTCGGGTCGGGCCGGAGGCGTCCGAGGGGCGGGAGGCGGCCAGCCTTGCAGGAGCTGCCAGCCCGGCCCACGACGGAGACCGCCGCCGCCTCGTCCTGCTTCTCCGCTGAGGTGCCGCGCGGCCGGGCAGAGCGTCCAGGCCTCCGCCGCGCGGCCGGGGCCTCCGGGGCCCGCCGGGCTCAGCATGCCCGGGGTGAAGCTGACCACCCAGGCCTACTGCAAGATGCTGCTGCACGGCGCCAAGTATCCGCACTGCGCCGTCAATGGGCTGCTCGTGGCGGAGAAGCAGAAGCCGCGCAAGGACCACCTGCCGCTCGGCGGCCCGGGCGCCCCCCACACGCTCTTCGTGGACTGCATCCCCCTCTTCCACGGCACGCTGGCCCTGGCGCCCATGCTGGAGGTGGCCCTCACCCTGGTAAGCGCGAGCGGCGTCCCGGGCATCCTGCCCCCCCGAGCTGATAGCCCTGGAAGAACCGAGCGTCCTTCCCTGGGCGACGTTGTGGGTGTCGAGCTGGGGGTTCCCGGCGGTCTCGGCCTTTCTCCCCTCGCACATGCCCGAGATGCGTGGGTCAAGAGTGTCTGCTCCTTGTAGTGGTTAGAACCTATCTAGAATTCCTCCGTGCTATAGAATTTTCGTAAAATCAAAAAGCAGGAGCAGATGTGTCCTGTCTCCAGCATGAATGTGTTTCTGCGTGCAGTGAGTACCTCACTGAAGTGCAATGACGAAAAGATGTGCCACGGGTAAACTAAGTGGTAGGAGGCTTCGGACCGGTAGCTTTTTAGTTATGGAGATCAATGAAGGGACGGGAGAGCCATGTAGTGATTCCACTGAGTTGATGAAACTTGAAGGGGAGGTAACCTGCAGCCTCGAACGCACCTGCCCCGGATGAGCTGCTGCGTATTTGCCATCAAAGAATAAACTGTGGTGCTAAAAAGTACCAGTTGATTCCAGCGAGGTTTCAGAAGGTGTAGGTAGAAATTCTTTATGCCTCCCACTAAGTAAAATGGATCCATTTCTTAATTGAGATAATTAAAACACGAAGTAAAGTCATGGCAAGTAAGAAGTGCCTTTGGGCGAGCTGTCCTACGGTTGTTGGGCACGTCTCAGAATGTCTGTTAAAGTTAAACTGAGTCATGCTGTGAATTTCTTCATAGCATTTCTGGACTGAAGACAGGTAACAAACAAGGAGACAAATGTTTATAAAAGCAGTCATTTTCATTTCTGAAGAAATGGGCTGTCAGGACCTGAAACATGTTGGGGGAACACGAGCGTGGTTTTTTTTTTTTGTTTTTTGCAGTACCAGGGATCGAAATCAAGACCTCACATGTGCTGGTGAGGTGCTTATGCCATGGAGCTGGCTCCCTGGCCCACGAGCGTCTTTTAACCCAGGTCTTTTCCAACCACCTCTCTCATTCTGTTATTGAGGAGACCGCAGAGCAATTGAATCTCTGAGATGCCTTCACTTGCAAGGAGCTAGATGCACAGAGATGCCTGTTGTTTTCTTAACTTTGAGACAGGATCTTGCTGAGCTGCTCAGGACGGCTTTGAGGGACCTGTGAGATATAGCTCAGTGATCTAAAACGCCTGCTTAGGCAAGCTTAGACAAAAGCGCAGGGACCACGGTTAGATCCCCGGCACCACATGTCACACTAGCCCACCCCCAGGGTGGGTGGAACTGGCCACAAAGAATAAATTAATTAAATAAAATTACCTTATATATATATTAAAAAAAAAAAGGATGACTTTGAACATGCCAGCCTCCTGCCTCAGCCTCCCAAGGAGCTGGAATTGCAGACATATGCCACCATGCCTAGCCACCAGGAGCACTGTATGAGATCATCCAGTTCTCCACTAAATGTCTCTTGGGTATGTTTTGTGCTAGGCACCTGCTCGAGGAGCTGTGGGGCTGTGACCACCAGTACTAGGCACTTGAACTTACAGCAACCTGACAAGCACGTAATGAAGGATAAATGTCACAGGCGAGGTTACAGTGGCAAGAGATCTGAGAGAAAAGTCTGCCTCTCCGGGCTCAGGGAGTCAGGGCCATCGAAGGGAACATGTGAGTGTGGAGCACCCTGGTGACCTCAGGAGGAGCATGGCGTGGACGGAGAGCATTCGGGGCGGACAGGCCCGAGTGTGCAGGCCAGAGGGGTGAGGGAGCGGGCAGAGTGGGTGGGCAGGAGGAGGTGGGCACACTCTGAAGAGGGTCACGCAGAGGTGCCGCGGCACTGTTCTGCAGATAGAGGGAAGCCCGAGAGGAGAGTTGCAGGATGAGGCTTGCGTCTTTCTGCGTGGCACCACCCTGCAGCGCAAAGGGAGTCTGAGTCAGGTGTTAACTCAAGATTGAGAGGAAGGGAGATAGCTTAACCGAGCGTGGTGTGGCCGCTGGGCAGGAGAGCGCCCGTGGCCTGTGATAGCCTGTGTGGACACATGAGTGTGGGGCTAGGAAACAAGACAGCTGGGCTGTAGCTTTGTCTTAGAGCGCTCTGGTAGAGCACCCTGAGGGAACATGGACAGAGACACAGCTTTCAGGGGAGGGGTTACACGCGTTGAGTTTAGGATGTGCGGATGAAGTTTTGGTACTAAGAGGAAAACGAACCTAGAGCTAAAAGGATAACTGGGCTGGAGGAATAGACAGAGAGCCACAGCCTTTGGTTACTTGAGGTAACAGTGGATCAGATCAGCTGGGGACACTGGTGCAAAAAGCTTGAGGAACTCCAGCTTTTACAGGACAGGTGAAAGAGGGGCCACTGAGTAGCAGCCAGAAAGGAAAAGGAAAATCCCATGCTGCAGCAGGGAGGAGGGGGGCAACACTCACAGTGGACAGACAGACGGACCTGGATATCAAGCCCACAGCTGCGTCCCCAGACCTTTTTCTTTTTATTTTGAGGCAGAGTCTTGCTGTGTTGCCCAGCCTGGCTCAGATGTTGCAATCCTTCTGCCTCAGCTTCCAGAGGAGCTGGTGAAGCATGTGTCACCACCCGGAGCTGCTTAAGGGCTTCTCCCAGCCAGACACCCTGGAACCTTACTGGCAGTGTCCAGATCACTTTCACTGCTCTTAATTCACCTTTCCAGAGTTAGGGGTTATGTTCCAGCTTTAGGAAATGCGTGCAGTCTTGAGAGCATCGAGCACCCACCTTTATGTGAGTTTCCCCCAAAGGGCTGCCTCCCAGCCCTTACCTAGGAAGGAAGACTGCGAGCGAGCATCCGGGGCACCATTCTGACCTCACTCCCCCTGCCCCATCGCACTGCTCCCCTCAGGCCCTCGAGGTCCAGGCCCCGGCCAGTGCATGAGGTCCACTCGACCCCTGCAGTCACTTTCCTCACCAGGTTGTCTACGCCCTTCCTTCAGGCCACCACAACTCTGGGTTTCAGCCTCAGTGTATAACACGTATGAAAAGAACAATCCAATGCAAATGACAGAACATTTAGACAGGATTGTGGAGGAAATTTTATAGTATGACTCGCCCAGAAGACCATGTTACAGTTACACAATTTGAATTTGTACTATTTCCTTAATTTATATGATAACTAAGACGTTAAATTTAGATTATTTAGGGGCCATAGAGATAGCTCAGTGGACTAAGCACCCACTTAGTCAAGCACAGGGACCAGGGTTCAATCCCCAGCACTACATAGTGTGCTGACCCTGCCCTTGGGCGAACTGAGTCCGGGCGTGGTGGCACTTGCCTGTAATCCCAGTGCTGGGGAGGATGGAAACAGGAGGATCGCTAGGAGTCAAAGCTGTGTACTGAGACCCTATAGCAAATACATTTTTTAAAAAATTATATTATTTAGCTTCGACTAAGTCACCTTATAACCTGAAGGCCCTGCAAAATCTCCAGGTTCAGAGCTATGGTTTATCAGTATGTCTCCATGGAAGATTAATTTTTAACAAAACAGCTAAATCTGCAGTTGTAGAAGCCAGGCCATATTCTTCCAGTTCTTTTCGTTTTTGTCGGGACTATTTTTGGTGAGTGGTGAGGACTTGCCATGTAATCCATCAGGGGTAACAGTCAATTCCTGTGAAAAGCTTTTTGTTGTAATTTTCCATTTTAAAAACATCATGCATTTCTGTTTTTTAAGTACTTAGGTTATTTATCCTTACAGCCCTTTGACGTAGGTAGTGAAGGAATTATTCCTAATAGCAAAACCCCATAAACTGTGAGCGGGAAGCCAGCCTAAACCCGCTGTGTCCCTAAACCCTCTGTGCCCGCTTCCCTCACCTTGATCCCCCACTGCTCTGTACACTCTGCTTCCTCCAGTTGCGTGCCTCTCCCACTTCCAGCCGGCTCTCCTGCTGCCACCACCACCTGTGCCAACTCCTGTGCCTCCCGCCACCTGCCTGTCCGGGAGGCACCTCTGCTCCACATCCTCTCCCTGCTTTTCCTCCTCTTCCTCCTCCTCCCACGATGCAGGGACCCTCGCCCTTCCATGTCATGGCAGGGTCAGCAGCAGACTTGAGAAGGAGCTGGCCCCTGTGAGCCCGTGGTCCTCTGCTTAGCATAGCAGCAAAGGGGAAGCCCCACAGTGCCTGCCACCTGGTGCACTGCCAGGATCAGGAGGGTACCCTACTTGAAGCGGCTGTCTTGCCTCGTCCCAGTGTCACCTAATCCTCAGGAGCACTACACAGAGGGCCAGCACATCACATGGGCTTGGGTTCAGGGAGCAGGGCCAAACCCCAAGCTAGAACTAAACCCTTTGGTGCTAAATGGAAGTTCAGAAAGAAGTAAAAGAAATTATTCTAAGCAGCAAGAGGAAGTGTCTAGAACCTATTCCCTTAGGAGGTGATATAAGCACAGTAGAATTAGCTTTGGAGTGCTTTACAGCAGAGCCACAGTGATAGAGCCTTTGTGAGTATTTGGGGCATGTAACCGTAATTTTTTGTCAGCGTGACTCACGGCTCCCCAGGCTGGCTCTGCTCCTCCCCGGCTGAACAACAGAATGGACCAGAGTGTCCAGTTGTTCAGCGAGCCCTGGTTTTGACCCAAGATGGTAATTTGTGAGCTCCAAGGAGACCAGAAGTATTTGGATCCTGTGAGCCTGGGACCTGTGGACTATCTTGCATTGTCTGCTTTCAGTCACGAAGCCAGAGGCCTGAATGAGAATTCAGGACAAAGCAATAGCTGATGTTTTAAGCCCACACTCTTTTTTCTTCATCCTTTCCAGTGGTAGGGGTAAGATCCAGGGCCTCACACATGCAGGGAAAGCAGGCACTGCCAAGCCACATCCCAGCCCTGCACACTTTAACTAGGGAACTCCCTGCAAGCAAATAGAAAACCACCGAGCTACGAGTTTTGCCGCCTCTTCTGCAGAACGAGAGTAGACTCTATCACAGTGTGTTAGCGCTCCATTACAGCAAAACAGCGTGGCCTTTTGTTGTTTTTAATAATGGTATTAGACCTGGAGGAAGCTAAATCTGATGAGAGAGGAGCGGTGTTATGAAACTTCCAAAGTCTGCCTCCAGGCTCCCTTTTGGAAGCAGAGCAGTAGGGAATTAAGTAAGCGTGTGTTTGCACCCTGCCTGCCTGTGCCGTTCACCCGGGGCCCAGTGTGGAGGGCACTGTGGCCTCCCCAGGCTGGCCTTGCTCCCTCCTGGCTGTGCAGCAGTTGCACTTGAGTGTTCGTTCAGCTGCTGGAGCTATGCGTGCCCACTGCAGGATGCATGCTGTAGGTTCACCACCACTGGTTTAAGGGCTCTTAGGAGGGTTTTGTTTTGTTTTGTTTTGTTTGTACCAGGGGTAGAACTCAGGACCTTGCGCTTGCCAGGTAGACACTTAGTGCCCCTGAGCTACCTCCCTGGCCCAAGGGATCTTAGGATTTTTGAGCCCTATTGTGGCCCACTGCTGTGTCTCACAAGAGAATTGGGTGGAGATGTCTTCCCTCCATGACACTCTCACAGTTTAATAATCTGTCGACAAGAGCTCCCATTGTTGAGTCCGGAATGCCCACACCCAGCCCGTACAGAACCTGTCCAGAGGAGGACCCTGTCCCTTCTGGTTTCCCTGCCCTCTAGATTTGGGGTTTTTTCTGGCTCCTGTAGTTACTGAGCTTTATTAAGGGAAAAGCATTCATCTCTCAATTTGTGTTCCCTTTTCAGATTGACTCATGGTGCAAAGATAACAGTTATGTGATTGCTGGTTACTATCAAGCTAATGAACGTGTAAAGGATGCCAGGTATGTGGAAGCAACCTTCCTGGGCTGGAAGGGTGGCCGCTGGGCGGGGCCTGCACTGAGGCGCTGGTGACCCTGCTGTGCAGGCGCCAGGCATTCATCCCTCCCCACCTCTGTGCCTGTGACTGTGAGAGCGCTGTGTGGACACTTGTACTGACTGAGATTCTATGTGGCACTGACCTTGTGCTTAAAAGAACTTGTACAGTGAACGCAGCAGTCAGCCTTGCTGCCTGTTCTGCTCAGCCTACTCCCACCAGTCCCAAGCCAGGGTGAGAAAGGCAAGGCAGGGCTCCTCGTGGGATGGACACCGCGGCTTCCAGGTTTGGCCCTCAGGCCTGGCATTAAGTTGGCTCCAGCTCCTCTCCCAGAGACTCCCGAGTGGGGCTCTCACTCGTGAGCAAAGCTGCACAGGTTGCCACCTTGCCTGTGTGCATCCAGCTATATCCTGAGAGAAGACCAGACCCCCCCAGACCAGGGGAACTGACGAAGGCAGTTAGCGGCTGCACCTAAAGCTGGGGCTGTGAGTAGTTGCCGGGCCACAGCTGGTGACAGCTGCCATCCTTGTCCCTCAGCCTTTCAGCCAACACAGAAGGAGCCAGGTGAAAAAGTCTGCCTCAGAGCCACAGGTGTTGGGGGGGGTCACATCTGCATTATTAGCAGTCTGGGAAGCTGAGGCAGGAGGGCCAGAAATTTGAGCCCAGCCTCGGCAATTTAGCAAGGTCCTGTCTCAAAATAATTTTTTTCAAATGTATTTAGTACAGTCTCACTATGCAGATTGGACTTGTAGTGATCCTCCTGTCTTCCGGCCCCCCAGCACTGGGATTACAGACGTGCACCACCTCACTGGGGCTCATTGGCCAACTCAGCACACACAGGGGCAAAGCCAGTGCATTGAACCCCGGTCCCTGCGCTTGCCTAAGCAGGCACTTCAAAATAAAGTTTTTAAGGGGCCAGGGATGTAGCTCAGTGCCAGAGCCCTGGGTTCCATCTTTAGCACACCAAAAGAAGTCTCCCTCAAGAGAAGCAGTGCCCTATGGCTGAGGCCACAGCCAGCCCCGAGAGGGGCCAGCCCAACTTTCTCCCTCAAGCCCCCTCATTTCCTCCGGGGCCTGCCTTTGCCTGAACCCTGCCGAGAAGCAGAGGCAGCTAGACAGTGCGCACAGCATGAGGTGAGTTCCTCGCTGTCGGAGACACCAGCCCCCAGCATCTGAGTCTGGTACAGGAGGATCCTGGAGTTGAGCCACTCACGTGCAGCACTTCTAGAAGGAATGCACTGGTGACCGAGCGTGGCTGTCACTGAAGAGGCACTCAAATACTTCAGAAATACACCTGTCTTGTACCTTGAGGACTGGGTCTAGGCAAGAACCTTCTGGGGGCAGGCCGCCGTGAGATGCGGGGTGCTTATGATGTGCGCCAAGACACTGCTGGGATACTCGGAAGTGCCATCCTGCAGGAGCGCAGCTCTCCTGAACCTCTTTGATTCTGTTCCATGGTGTTGGTCACTTGGGGCCTGCTTGTCATCTTGAGCAGGAGCCCAGTGTGGGACTCTGCATCCAGCCTTTGTCACATGTTACACAGAAGAGACTGGCCAGCTGTGGATTATCTGGGGAGCCAGGTTCCACATGACACAATGGAGGACGCTTCCACCCACTCTGGCTGGGCTCAGTGGACCAGGACTGCAGAGAGAGCCAGGGGCAGGTGGGAGTCACCGCTGGCAGGACCCCAGAGGTCCCCAGGGCGGGAGGGCCTTAAACCAGGCCCTCAGGAATAGCAGGTATGGAGACCCGGGAGACAGCACTGCTCCCAGAGACACGGGAGGAGGACACAGGTGGCAGTGACACAGGAGCAGAGGCTGCACCATGCCAGAGGGACTCAAGGAAGTGAGGCTGCGCTCAGGTGGCCACCCCAGAAACTCCAATTGCTGAGAGTGTTCCGAACCTGCCTGTGAGTGCTGGGAGCCATCCTTGGCGGGAGCGCTCCCTGCTCCTGCACACAGGAGAGGACATTGTCCAAGTGGGGTGCATCTGCCTGGAGTTCACACAGTGCAGACCTCTGCCTTCCCGTGACCTTTCACCCCCAAGCCCACACCCTAGGCCACCGGCCTCTCACAGGCGTTCACCTCTCCTCTCCAGGCATGGCGCCTGGCTCACACCCTCTTCTTCCTTCCAGCTCAGCAGGAAACTGTCCTACTTAAGACACCCAGCCTTCTAGCAGTCCCTGCCCCTCACTTAGTGCAGCTTCCCCCTCTGCTCCTCTCCAGAGGCCTGGTGGCCCCATTGGAGTGAACTCTTGTGATCCGCACCTTCACGCTTACTGTCCTTAGGGAGAAGGTGCTGGACGTGAGCTAGGCGTGGTGAGAGGCGTCAGGGTCCCTCCCAGCCCATGAGTGGCCTGGACTTCTTTCTGTTTTACCTCCTCCATATACCGTGCTGGGGGACACCTTGGGCTCTGTGGGGTGGTCCCTCTTGGTCCTCCTGGTGCACTGTGAGGGACAGTGACTCCCACACAGCTCAACATGATGTGGCCACCCAGTTCGTAAGTGCACTGGCCTCTGTCTGGAGCCCCACGCCACCCACCCCCAGTTCAGCCAAGCCTGGCTAAAGACCTGCTGTCATTCTGGAAGCATCACGGGGTAACAGTGTCGCCCCCGTAAAGACTGGGGGCAGCCAGGGCTTGCTTCTGGTTCTCAGTAACTTACTAATGGGCCTCTTGGCCCTGGAGCCAGAGCTGGGCGCGCACAGCAGGGAGAAACGCAGCATGCTCAGGATGGGGGCCAACGCCATGCTAGCTCCTGTGAGCACAGAACAATCAGACTAAGCAGTAGATATCTTAATGCAGTTTTGGTTTTGTTTGGGGACTTTTTATTAGGGTTTTTGTATTTTGTTTTTGGTATCAGAGATTGAACTCAGGTCCTTGTATTTGCCAGGCAGGTACTTAAACTGCTGAGCTGTATCTCTGGCTAGGGATTTGGGGTTTTTTTTGTTGTTGTTTTGTTTTTGTCTTTTTGTGACAGGGCCTGGCTGGCCTTAAGTTTATTTTGTAGCCCAGCCTGGTCTAGAACTTGCAGTGATCCTCCTCCCTCAGCCTCGAGTGCTGGGATGACAGGCATGCACCGCCATGCCTGGCCTAACATGAAGATGTGAGTAAGTTCTGTGTGTTGCCTGATCCTCGTGTCATTACCCCAGGTTCTGTCTGTCACTTCCTAATTGCCTTTGTTTTGCTTGTGATCAACATTTTCCATGAGCATAGCTCAGTGCCCTCACAGTGCCCTGGCCGAGGTAAAGGCTCAGTCAACAGCTTTCCGATAAAAAATGCAAGCAATTGTGTAGACACCTGACTTTGTGCTTGCCGGCAGGGGGATTAGGGAGGTGGTTTCTCCCTTTGTGTGCCTGTTCCTTCTATGACAGCTGATTCCAGAAGAGACAGCACTCTGGTGCTGCCGAGTAAGTGCCAAGGTGCCCACTTGGATGCCATCCTATGAGGGGCTCAGATTCCTTCATGGAGATTGAGTGCATCATGCACAAAACAAACACAGGGACAGAGAGCTCTTTCAGATGCTTGGAGCTCGGCCACACTGCGCACTCTGTGAAAGCCGCTACCTCCGCCCGGCGTGCTCACCTCTGCCCGGCGTGCTCACCTCCGCCCGGCGTGCCCACCTCCGCCCGGCGTGCCCACCTCCGCCCGGCGTGCTCACCTCCGCCCGGCGTGCCCACCTCCGCCCGGCGTGCCCACCTCCGCCCGGTGTGCCCACCTCCCACCTCACCTCACGTCGCAGGCTGGGGCCTCGGTGAGCTCCATTCTGAGTGGTGCCTAGAGTGGGAGGCCAGGTTCCAGCCACACTGCCAGCTAAGTAAAGGACAGTGAGTGACACAGACAGCGAGCCTGCAGCAAGCCTGCATCAGCTGGAACCTCCCCAGGTGTCCTGCAGAAGATCTACTGTTGGCTGCCCAACAAATCCCAGCGGGGAACAGCTCTTCAGGCACAGAGCCCACTCCCAAGGAAGGACTTACTGTGTGTTGCTCTGAATCTTGTTTTGGAAATGAAATGCAGTCATTCAGATGAAATAACTTGTTTCCATACGATGATATTGACCTTTTTTCAGCCCAATCATAGGGAGAGATTTATAGGTCACTGGCCATTAAAATATATGTGTATAACCTAGTCTCTGCCTCAAAAGCTCGAACTAATTATGTGGAGAAAATAAGACAAGAAAAAAAACCAACAAACCCCAGGCCCCTCGTGGGAGCCTCTTGGAGAAATCTCAGATGCGGAGGAGGGAGGAGGGAGAGAGCCTCGTCGGGGCCGAATACGGGGCCTTGAGGAGAGGCAGAAGACCAAGAACGGACAGCCTGTTAGGAGCAGCGCGGGGGAACAGGGAGGGCACATGAGGGGCTGTGCTGGGCCTGGGCACCCCTCGTCTGGCCCACATGTTCTCCATAGGACCGCAGGCGTGTGCAGCTCACTGGCTGTGCCAGTCCTCTGCCCTGGCTATGGAGTCCTGGGTGGTGAGGGCTGTGCCCCACGGACAGGATGGGGTTATGGCAAGAACTGGGGCGGGTGGACCTCACTGCTCCTTCTCTGTAGCCCCAACCAGGTGGCAGAGAAAGTGGCCTCCAGAATTGCCGAGGGCTTCGTGGACACCGTGCTCATCATGGTAAGCCACGGCTTTGTGTTCGTGGGGACCGGGTCTGCAGGAGGCCGCTGCACCTCTGTGGGCGTGCTCACATCTGCAGACCCGGGGGCGTCGGGGCTGTGGTCTGAGCACCACGGCAAGCACGGTGAGGGCTGTGGGTGGGGTACTTGGTGTCAGCACCCCTCAAGGCCTGTGCCTCTGCCAGCAGCCAGGCCCTCACACGGCAGCTGTCAGAAATGCAGCTCGGGGGGCCTGGCCCTAGCTCAGGCCTTCAAGTGGCGGCTTCCACAAAGCTGTCAGCCTCAGGTTGCTGGAGTTGGATCCCCACAACACTCTAGCCAGCCAAACCTGCCCTGAAGGCATTCAGAGCAAAAAAGAAAGAAAGAGAGAAAGAGAGAAAGAGAGAAAGAGAGAAAGAGAGAAAGAGAGAAAGAAAGAAAGAAAGAAAGAAAGAAAGAAAGAAAGAAAGAAAGAAAGAAAGAAAGAAAGAAAGGTAGCTCAACAACATGAACATTGATGTAGAATGTGCCTAAGGAGAGTCACCTGGAGAGAAAACATTCTCTCAGGCTTTCACAGAGAGCACATTGGCCAAGCAATGGCCGTGACTCATCCACAGGGCTGACACTGACAAAGGATGTACAATCTGAGGTACAGGATCTCAGGATAAATCCTGAGGGGACTTGACTGACCTTATCATATACCAAAGTTACATTTCTTGCTATATAGGTCTTGCTTTATCTTGGTCTTAACCATCCTGCAGAAAAGTATAAAAGTGAGGTATATAAAGTAAAGCCATATTAATATGCTGAGCTGTGAAAGGCTCAAGTCAACAACCTCTGCAGATAACCCACTACTGTTGTGGACTGCTGGACCATGTTGGATTGTTTTGCTGAATTCACGCACCTGTAGTGTTTAGATGCAATGGAATACCCATTTCTGACAGGACTAAGCAAAAAAGGGGATACAAAGGAAGGACCATTTTGTTGTATATGCAGAATAGTTAGGATAGATATACAGCGACTTCCACTTAATTCAGTGGAAGAAAGATTTGTACTAATAGTGTTTGGACAGGATATCCTGTCTGCATCTTATAGTATGGATGACCACTAAGAAGATAACAATGTACAAGGTGTTAATTATTGAAACTGCCCTATTAATCCGTTTTGAAACTGTCTCATTGCTATTTGTTTCTCTAAAAAATAAAATTTAAAAAAGAAAGAAAAAAATGCAGCTCAAGCCGGGTGCGGTGGCGCACGCCTGTCATCCCAGCGCCTGGGAGGCTCAGGCAGGCAGAGTGCACAAGTTTGAATCCAGCCAGGCTATATAGTGAGTTCAGGGCCAGCCCGAGCTGTAGTTCTCACTGTGTATAGTGAAGCTCTCCCCCCCTCAAGAAGAAATGCAGATTCTGAGGCACCCCCATAGACCCACTGAATGGGAGGAACTGAGGTGGGGGCTGCTCCCCAATGTGCTGCAGCCCCTGAGGGGCGGGGCGGGGCTCTGCTGTGGCATCGCTTGCACAGCACCCCTCCTCAGCTCCTCTCTGCCTCGGCGCGCCAGCATGCAGCACGGTGGGACCAGCTCATGCCCCCCCCGCTCATACCTGCCCCCTCCTGGCGCAGGTGGACAACACCAAGTTCACCATGGACTGTGGAGCGCCAACAATCCACGTGTATGAGCACCACGAGAACAGGTGGCGGTGCCGAGACCCTCACCAGTGAGTGACACCCCCACGACTCCTGGGGAGCTGGGGCTGGGGGTTTTGAATGGTGGAGCCGCTGGGTAGCGCCACAAGGCAGTGCCTGGCCACCCAGCGCCTCCTTCCCCACCCCGCTGGCAGGTGGCCCATAGCCATCGGCCTTCATGCTGTTCCCTGTCCCTGCCAGTCCTCTAGCAAGTGGCGTGTGTCCCTGGCCTCTGGGGGGGGTGCCATTCCCAAAGGAAAGGCTGACCTGTCTGTGTCTGCCCCGCAGTGACTACTGTGAGGACTGGCCGGAGGCACAGAGGATCTCGGCGTCGCTTCTGGACAGCCGGTCCTACGAGACGCTCGTGGACTTCGACAACCACCTGGATGACATTCGCAATGACTGGACAAACCCAGAGATCAATAAGGCTGTCCTGCACCTGTGCTAGGCGAAGTCGGAGCTGCTTTCGGGTCACCAAGAGGAAGCCCGTTTTCCATGGAGTGGGCGCGCCCCAGCCTGGTGCAGAGCCACAGTAGCCTGTGCTGGGGTGGGCGCCTGCACCTGCTGCCACGCAGGGCCGAGAGAGGCGCACAGCCGCCCTGGGGGCTCACGCAGTCCTGCGTTGTTGTCAGCTTCCAAATCAGTGCTGTTCCTGCTTGTCCGAGATTGTTCCTATTAAAGTTTTAACCTTTTATAATCTGAAGAGAATACTTTTTAAGGCTTATGAACTATTAAAAACAAAGCCCATATCTTACACTGCGGTGTGTGTGTGTTTATCCTGGCTGAGTCAGGGCAGACTCGGAGTGCTGGCACCAGCAGTGTCCAGGGAGCAGGGGCAGGCTGAGCCCCGTGGGAAGAGCCGTGCTGCTGTCGCCTGAGAAACCTTCGCTGCCACAGGCAAAACAAACACTGTTGTGTGGGGCAGAAGCCCAGAGCCGCTAAGCCTGTAGGCTGCGACCTGCAGAATGCAGAAGGGGGTGGGACCCCAACAGGGTCTTCTCAGAAGCTGGGTGGTCCCGGCTTCACCCTCCTGGCCAGCCGAAGGCTCTGACCTCCGACTTGCCCTGAAGAGCAGCCAGCAGCTGGGCTCCCATCCTGCACAGAGCAGTGCCTCTTTTGTTCCTGTGGCATTTGGCCCAGTGTTCTATCCAGTCTTGGGAAATGGCTGAGGAAACATTTTGGGTCACGCTGTTTCCCCCTGCTTGTAGACAGTGGGCTCCAGGAAGGAGGCGGGGGCTGAGGCAACACAGCCAGCACTCCAGGTCAGAGTTAGGCCTAAGCCTGCACATGGGGTCCCTGATGGTGGGGTCAGGCTTAGCCTGACACAGGGCAGCATTTGAGATGCTCAGAAGGGAAGGGCACCGTTGTGAAAGCCAGAATGGCTCGGATGGCCCAAGTGCTCCTTGTGAAAATAACACAAGCCCTGTCGGGGCTCCCGGGCTTCCCTGGGTGGCAGCCTGCGAGTCTGGGGCCTGAGAACAGGCCTCGGCCCCAGGCTCAAAGAGCTGGCCTCTGCTACAGGCCACGTGGCCACGTGGCCCTTCCCCGAGAGCTGAAGGAGCAGCCCGCTGCCCATAGCTGAGCTCTCCGCAGCATAGCGCTCTCACCTGGCCTTTTGTCTGAGCAGTGTCCCCGATGGCCAGCTGTGGTGTGGTGTGGACTCAGGCTGGCCGGTAGGAGCCCCGCTCTGAGCATCCCCAGAGCCCCCACTTTTTATCTCCATTAAAAGATGAGTAGGACCAATTATTAATTTGTATAAAAATGTCCCTTTCCCTGTGCCTGTTGGAAGGCTAGGAGAAAGTATTTCAGAAGTGCTCACCGTGACGAGAAGCTCAACGGCTGAGCATGCCCCAGCGCCTGGAAGGCTGAGGCGGGAGGATCGCGAGTTCAAAGCCAGCCAGCACTGTGCCCCTGTAGCGCCCACCCAGAAAAGGTCAGGGCTTGGGCAAGCAGCCATGTGTGCCGGATTTAAGCGTGACAGTGTGTGCTCGTTGCTCTGTGCAGCTTCTGTGCTTTCACACGCCAGTTAAATTTTAACTTACTCGTTTCCCGTTTCTGATCATGGTGGCCTGTAAGAGTTAAGGCTATTAAACAGAGAAACACCAGCAGCTCCGTAACGCAAAGAAAGGCGCTTACTCGGTAAAAGTCGGCATTGCTAATTCTGATGAAATCTGATTGCTCCACCACAAAAGCAGCTTAGAAATCTCGAGTCATTTAAGTTTTCAAGTCAGTTTTCCGCAGATCTGTTTTTGTATCTCTCCTCTGATTAGCTTTGATTTATTTAAATAGCTTATTTTTCTGATGTCTTGGCAAACCTCTGTCTTTTCTTTTAATGTATTTGGTACAGGGCCTTGCTACGCAGCTCAGTGATCCTCCCGTCTTAGCCTCCCCAGTGCTGGGATTATAGGCGTGCACCACCACACCAGGGGAAGCCTATTACTTCTGCATGTTGTGTTTCTCAGGTTTTCACACCACATTTTTTGTTTTGCCTTCAGAAGATGAGTGTGTTTGTGACGTGGCCTTGTGGCGCTACGTCTGCCTCCTCACCTCAGTAGCTTGTTTCTACCGTGTGCTCAGCAGAAGCAAGGACAGCAGCGTCTCTCCTGCCCTGCATGCATTTCTAGCCATTGTAGTGAAGGGAACTGGGTCTAAAAATAGACTCCTGCCTTCCTGACTGACAGCCTCAGGCCTTCTGTCAATGCTCGTAAGCATTGGACTTTTTTTTTCTAGTTCAATAAAAAGGCAGGAAGTGTCTAGGTCGCCTTCCAGCTCTCAGGTGTGTTAATCTGACCTCACATCCACGCACCTTAGAACTCAGGGTGTCTTAGTTATCTTTCCTGTCGCTGAGACAGAATACCCGACACCCAAACTTAAAGGGGGAAGTTCGTGTGGCCCCCAGTGTGTAGAGGCACAGCCGCCTCTTGGCTGGCTCCAGGGTGGGTGCCGTGGCTGAGGGGCGGCGCAGAGGAGAAAGCAGTTCGTGGGA